GGCTTCCTGCGTGGATGATAGCCATGCTTACCAGTCATGTGCAGTGTGCATTGCATTGTGTCACAGGAAACACTCACCCCAGTTTGACTTTCTAATGGTTTAGCCAACTGTGCAGAACTTGCATGCTGAATTCCTTCATCTTCTCTCATCACAAAACTCTCTTGACAAGGTGTTAACTTCTGTGCAGGGCCTGAGTGTCTCTGCAAGCTTCCTACAAGTCCATCCTTTTTGAATTTTTGGATGACTTTTGCGACAGTATTCAAACTTAATGGCAATGCCTTATTAATTTTCTTATAACCTTGATCTTCTTTTTTGTGCAAAGAAATTTTCTTTTTCAGATCTTGTGACATTTCTTTTCCATGTGTCGCCATTTTGTCAGCATTGAGTGGAACTAGATTTTGTCTCTTAAATGCCACTTTTAATTGTCAGCCATCCAGTGGCCACCTGTGTGATGATTGATTAGATTAATCTGTTGGTGAATTCTGTGTTTGTTAATTATTGCATGTATTATTCTTCTTATTCTAAAGAAGTAAAGGAGGTGATCATACTCTTATGTTGATACAAATAAATGTTTAATAAAACTGGTTTGTAAAAATGCAGCTAATTGTCCTCATTATCACTGACAAATGGTTCAAAGTTTTAATTTCAAAGGGGGTGCACTCATTAATGCTGAGCACTGTATATGCAGAACAAAATTAACAATGTAAGACCGCCTATCTTACCTGCCCACCCAGACACAAAATTTAGGGAAACCATGCTACTTGCTGTCAAGATTGGTGAGATTGGTCCCTGTTTTGTCCTGTTATGTTTGTTTCCCTGCTTGGCCAGCAGGTGTCACTGGCCATTCTGTTATTTTCTCTGTTTAGTACATTTCACTAGTGCAGGGGTCTCCAACTCCGGTCCTGGAGAGCTACTGTACTATCCAGTAGGTTTTCTGTCCCACTTGGCTTCTGATGAGCCACACCTGTTCCTGGTATTTACCTGAGAACAGGTGTGGCTCATCAGAAGCCGGGTATGATAGAAAACCTACTGGACGGTAGCTCTCCAGGGCCGGAGTCGGAGACCCCTGCACTAGTGTATCCCCCTGTTCCCCAGACCACCACATGGCTGAATGGGCTGTGTGTGCAGCTAGGTATCTGTGCCTCTTCACTGTGCCTCTTGTCTGTTCAAGGGTCCTGTTTTGTAGTTGTCCTATTTCACCTTGTTCCCAGCATTTCCTGTGTAGCCCTAATCCCTAGTGTTGACTTCACTGTTAATCATTCACACCTGCTTCTCATCTATGAATCATTGATGTGTATATAGGTGCCTACTTTCCCCCTGTTGTCTTGTTGGACGGTTCTGCTTGTGATGTACTTTGGTTCTCCCTTAGTGTTTCTTTGTTCCTGTTCATCCTACCTAACCTACCTAATTAGCCCTGATCTTTCATGTTTTTATACCTTACCTACCTTTGTTTTGACCTCACATGGTCCTTTTGTTTCTTGTATGTTCTGTTTGTAACAAAGTTTCTCTTGTTGCTAAGTCACTCCCTGGATCATCTCTCATTCCCCTGGTCCCTGTGTGACACTTTGTTTCCATTTTTAAAGTCTCACTGAGTTTGGTTTTGTGGTTTTATCCCTAACCTTCAGAACTCCAATGAGGCTGAAAACTTGCTAATGCTAGAGATTTGTTAATATACAACTACAGCAGACATGCCAAAATGGACACCAGAGAGTGTCACTGCAGTAATCAATCACTGTTTTGTCAATGCTTATAAAATGCATCAGATTATTACCGTCTTACCCGGGAAACTATTGCAAAAACTAGCAGGGTTTGGGCCTAAACACTAATGAGATTGATCACTGCAGCTTGCAGGAAGAGAAGGGCTATATGAGTCAATTACCGTGTAGACAAGTGATTTAACAATGACGAAATGGTGACGAAGGGGGGGAAATCTAAATGGGATCTGACTTCTTCATACCCATCATTCTGAAATGAAGCCTCCAGATTCCATTTCATTCGATGTATGGATAGGCGAGAGGGGTTGTTCATGGGTCTCTCCGCTCATACCTTGCAACTCACATCAGGTGGTGAAAGAGGTGTCAAGCCCTTAACAAATAATAAAAGGAATTTCCCCCCCAGTGAAAAACTGTATCCATCCCTTCCTACATCCATCCATCCATCCATCCATCACATGACTATAACCAAAATCAGTATAGTGATAAGCATTATTATCATCAAGAAATCCAGCAGCACATTATTAGGCAAACTGGTGTCTGTGCATCGCTGTAGTGTGCATGTTTGTGCCATGCAATGATGTGGCACCACAGCTGCCCAGGCTGCCCCCCAGCCTGGTGCCCTGGAGTGGCAGTTGTATACTTATATTCCATTTTTCTTCAGAATTATATTATTTAAACAACAAAGACATACTCAAAATACTGTTGAAGAAATGTGGTTTCATTCTCCATTTGAAATATACTGTCAATTTATTGTTTGAAGATGTTCAATTAATTAATTGCACTGGCAAAAAATGAAAATAAATAATCACCATACTACAAAATGCAGCAACAAAATAAAGGTTGGAACTTAAATTCTCTCAGACCACTCATGTAATGAAGTGCATTGGTTATATGTTTCATAGTGCCTGCTGAATCTGTATATGGATTCTGTGGGTAGTACTTTCCCCAGGTATTGGTAACTAGGCAAACAGAAAACTAGGCAAACAGACATAACAATTTGCCCACAGTGTGTCCTTTGTGTGTGAGTGCTCTGCAGTGGACTGCCATTCCATCTATGGTGTCCCCCTTACATGTGCCCTGTGCTGCCTGGGAAAGGGTCCAGGCCAACCAGAAGTGGGTGCTGAATAGACTGGACGGCTGTAGAGCGATTGCAAAAGATGGGTAGGTTCTTTCTGAAGTCTGTTAAGACTTGTCTTAACATCTGAAGGCTGTTAAGACAATCTCTGCCTCTAGGTGGCAGTGCAGTACTGAGTTGACCTGCTGGGTGAGCCTTTCAATGTGCATGAAGATAAAGAATTATTAAAATTTATAGATGAACAAACAGATGTCATAACAAAGAAAGCGGGAGAATTTACATATTTTTATAATTAAAGTAAATGTCATTTGGCTTAACATCTCTATGTATTTAGATCTCTATAGACTTATTAAAAATAACAATAGTTTTGAGCCCAAAAATGTATATTTCATACTGTGACAACAGTATTTTCACATTTGTAGTTCAACATAATTGCTATTCTGGTCAAGGACAGCCATGTTTTCTTGTCTGGCTCTGCAGTCCACAGTGATAGAGACTAATTACTCACGTCTGTCAACGAAACACCTACACTGGTGTGCTTGAATAAAGCTTGTTTGTAGAAAAACACTGTCCCATTCAGTATGGCCCTAACACCATGCACAGATTAATTCAGGAAACGGTAAACGTGCTTTTAATGTTCTGTTTGGCCTGTTTTCATCAGTCATAAGTGACACAAAAAGCAATGTGACACTGAGTAGGAAAGAATATGGTGAAACAAGGACACCAGAATATCAACATACAGTCCTAAACTGTCATTCTCGATTTAATGATGCACAATTTAGCTACTGATAACGAGCTGTATGGGAGATTTCTGAAGCTGTATGCAGGTGACAGGAACAGCCTCCAGCTTCATCTGACTGGCTTCAGTGTGTGGCATGACCTCTGACTCACTTAGGAATGTCAGCATGCCCGATACCACCCAATACATCATGACTCATAAAGAATTTAAATCTGCATTATGCTGCCTAATGTTATGTCATCAGAAGTGCTTTGATTGTCGACAGTGAGTCTGGGACTGAGAACTGCAGATCGATAAATATACACCGATCAGATGGACAATTAAAATCACTGTGGAGGGAGGTGAATAACATTGATTATCTCGTTACAATGGCACCTGTCAAGGGTGCCGTTATATATTTGCCAAGTGAACAGTCAGATCTTGAAGCTGATGTCGTGGAAGTAGGAAAAACGGGCAAGCATAAGGATCTAAGCCAAATTGTGATGGCTAGACAACTGGGTCAGCATCTCCAAAACGTCAGGTCTTATGGCATGTTCCCAGTATGCAGTGGTCAGTACCTACCAAAAGTGATCCAAGGAAGACCAAGAGGTGAACCAGTGGTGGGGTCATGGGTGCCCAAGGTTTAATGCTGCACATTGGAAGTGAAGGCTAGCCTGTCTGGTCCGATCCTACAGGAGAGCTACTGTAATACAGATAGCTGAAGAAGTTTCTGGCTATGGTAGAATGGTGTCAGAACATACAGTGTATTTCAGCTAGCTGCGTGTGAGTCTGCGTAGCCACAGACTGGTCAAAGTGCCCATGCTGACCCCTGTCCACTGCTGAAAGCTCCTACAACGGGCATGTGAGTGTCAGAACTGCACCATGGAGCCATGGAAGAAGGTAGCCTGGTCTGATGAGTCACGTTTTCTACTACATCATGTGGATGACTGGGTGCATGTGCGTCATTTACCTGGAGAAAAGATGGTACCAGGATGCACTATGGGCAAAAGACAAGCTAGCAGAGGCAGTGTGATGCTCTGGGCAATGTTCTGCTGGGAAACCTTGGGTCCTGGCACCACTTTCCTAAACACTGTCGCAGACCAAGTGCGCTCCTTTATTGCAACGGTATTCCCCGATAGCATCTTGCACGATAGTGATTAATATGATTTGTAAAAATGTAGAATAAATAAAGTTAGCTTGTTTGGATATGCAATAGTGATAAGGGTTCATAACAGTACTGTAAAACCTTTGAAAGACCACATACTCTTCCAATGTCCTCTTCTTTAAGCTACTGTATTTTAAGGTTCTTTGGTGGGTGTGTGTGTGTGGTGGGGGGGGGATGGAACACCAAAACATGTAACCACTCACACGCACAGTAACACACAAAGTTTAAACACACATAACTACAGTGATGACTTTATCACAATGCTAGTGCCTAAACCTAAGAAGCCTTCAGACATATAGAACAGACGTGAGATACCGGCAACACAGGTGGAGTCAGTAATAGCTTTTACTTTGTTAATTATTGCTTTTTGCTAATTGCTGTGATGGGTGTCTTACAAAAGGGGTGCCATTTACACTCAAGCATGACCACAGAGACTCACGTCACTCTCTTTACAAAGATCCAGACCGGGAAGCAAGTCTGCTGGGGTGATCGTCACACAGACACATTCAACATCTAATCACAAACAACTGACACGGGTTTGCAGTGATGGCTAACAGCAACTGACAGATTAGGGAATCTCCTTTAAACTTTAAGTCTGTGAAGGTTTTTCTCCATATATTTCTATATACAAAACTGTAAAATGGGGGAAAGCATTAAATGTTGACATTCAAATGCCTGCGGTTCTTTTTATATCCATCTTCAGACAATTTAGAAGATTTCACTCCCTTGGTCACTGGTGTGCAGTTTCTAAAGACGTCCTTTACAAGTGATGCTCCTAACAAACCTGTTACAAGTTAAAATAAAGGTTAAAATAAAACAAAAAATAAGGAGCTCATCTTTAATATGAGTAAAAATATATCAAAGCATATATCAAACATATATCACAAGATATATGACTTACTGCCACATCTATCGTCATATCATTCATATATATATATATGTGTGTGTGTGTGTATACACACACACATATACTCACACACACACACACGCACACACACACAAACACACACACTTTACAATGTTTTTATGATATCTGCATATGATTAGAAAAGTGGCTATTTTGTCCATAAAGAAACCATAGATATTTTTCTGTTTCTTATATTTTCAAGAGCCCCCATCCACTAAAGCGGCCCTACATTCAGCATTATAATTTAAAACAGAAAAAATTATATAAATAATATTTTTTTCCAATATTTTTTTGTTAAAGTATACTACAGACTGAAGTATAGATGGAAATCCCATTGTTTTACTTGGCATTTTTCATCTGTTTCAGAATATTTTTTGAATGACAATCAAATATATTTTCCAATATAAGTATGTAAATATAGTATATTTTGACATAATTAAAGTCTATTAGTCAATTCATTAACTTACTTTGTTCTGTGCAAATATTACTATTTACCAACACTGCAAAAAGCAGAGTGATAAAGGTCCCCTAAGTCAAAACCCTTTCGTTATTCTGGAGCACCCATTTAGCTTAGCGCGGGAACGGCACCCACAATTAAACACTAAATCACAGCCCCACCACAAGGGGGCACTACACTCTTCTACTCTTACTCGTACTCACTCTGTATTTTCACAAATACATCGCCACAGTTCAGCACCATTTAAAGCAACCCAATCTTTATCTGTTGTCCTCATTAAGATGTGTTGCCACTTAGCAACTTCCTGCCGGCGGTTGCAAAAAACATAAACACGGCACAATATTGGGCGTGCAAGGTAACTTGGTGGAGGGAGACTCACGATATTTTTCTGATTCTGCAGACTCATTCGATAAAGTGCTGCCCAGTAGCTGGCCGTGACACGGTCACTGGGTGGCCTGGGAACCGGCTGCGGGTGTCATCACTCAGATGCAACACAAAATAAAGGAACAGGAGCGTGTGGTTCACTCTGTGACAAGTGGGTACACAGTGAAGAACTCCACCGGCTATACTGCCAAACTAGCTATGCCTGCAACGTCCCACAGCAATTCATATTTAAACATCTGCTTCTGGTTCAGCTTCTGGATACAGGAAACCTGTTTCATGTCCTTAAGAATCCCCCCTCCACCCACAACAACAGGTTACCCTACTGACTGACTGAGTGACTGTCACATGACAGCCTTGTGTCTGGTTCCATGCGGATAACCATTTAAGCTGAGCTGAAAGTTCTGCAATCCAACACCAAACCTGCATTCACACCAAGAGAAAAGCACGAGATTAGCTGAGCACTACCAGAAAGACAGCCCTTGACAACATCAATGTCAAGTGTGTGTGTGTGTGTGTGTGTATGTATGTGTGTATATATATGTGTGTGTATATATATATATATATATATACACACACACACACACACACACACATTTCTTCAGGAAAGAGTTTCCAGAGAACCCAAACACCAGAATTAAATGATGTGAAAGACCAGGCTTAACCATTCAGAATATCAAAACAAAGGAAGTAAAGCTAAAAAAATCCATCCTTGAATTTTCTCTTGTCTGAGATAATAGAAGTCCATCCATTCGTACATCATCTGTTTTTTGGCAAAGCAACTCGCCCCAGACCCTTCCCCAATACCCAGGCCTCAGTCCCATTGGCCTATCAATTATCGCCGAAGCAGCAGGACGACCAATGAGAGAAGCAGGAGGCTGGTGCAGGGGCGGGACTGGCTGCCTGAACCTTGGGGAGCTTTGTTCTCAACGGGAGAGGCATGGATTTGAGGATGATCCGCCCTGGTGATGCTGACACAGGGATGCTGGGGGCAAAGGTCATCAGCACGCATTCCGCTCCCTGACCCACTGGCATCATCACCTGAAAAACAGGAATAGAGGTAAAGGAAACAGACCTAATGTGATGGGAATCAAAACCTTTGGTTTCAGTGTGGGATTACATAAAATCTTTATTAAATCAGTTATTAAAATAAAAAAAAAAACATATAGAAGGTGGCCCTTTCAAATGATAGGTACAGACTCTTTCTGTTTTCAACAACATTATGCAAAATAAATCCTTTGTGTGCCTGTGACTTAGAAGAAGTGATTTGTACGGGTAAACAAGAAGGTGTACAAATATAAATATACAAACACCCTGGCTACTCAATAAATAATAAGTGTGCTTTGGATGACACCCAAAGACCTTGGTCTATACGAGCAGACTGACGTGGTCTGTCAGGGTCAGCGCCTGCCTGACCTTGCCCTCTGACCTTTCCATGCTTGGCCAGCAGCCATTGCTGGCCATTCTGCCTCCCTATTACTAAATGACTATTTATAGTTCAGCCTGTAGTGTTTTCCCATTATTTCTTTGTTGTTGTTTTTTTTTTTCCTGGTATTTGTTCCCAGTGTGCTTGGTTGGTTCTGTTCTTCATCTGCCCACCACCACACCACCCTCTTCGGAGGACAACTTTATTTTAAATTAAAGTTACAGTGTAAAGATATTCAATTCCAGTGTGGCCACTCTAACCTCACCCGCCCTAGTACCGTGATTATACAAAAAAAGGGGGGAGGGGAGGGACTCAGAAACAACAGTCATAACAATGACAGACATTATGCTGGTTCTGTTCCTAATAAACCCTGTTAGTGGATCGTCACTTCATTCTCCACGCACCAGGCCACAGGTTCAGAAGAGCAGGTTGGCCAAAAGAGGGCTCGCTACTCACTGGTGTCCTGGAAGTCCACATCATTGCCGTCAAAGGCGTTTCTCAGGCGATTGGTGGTGATCTTCAGCTGCATAATCTGCTGCCGGATGGTCATGTCAGGCTTGGTTATGTCGATATCCACCTCGGGGTTGTTGATCTGACTGGCCAGGCCATCACCCATCACCTCGGGAAGGTATCTGTGCATGGGAGGAGCATCCGCTTGTCATGGCGTCATTTCGGAAACATTTACCTGGTTACAGCGATTCCTGAAAGCTTCAACGAGTCTCATTGTCAGCACCTGAACCACAGTGTGGAACCCGGCCCTTCGCATGCCTGACATTTATTTATGCCTGCATATACACAACAGCAGGCTCCCCAAAAGACATTCATAATTAGCCGTCACTGCTGCATCTTATTAGTCTGCACGTCCCACAGCCTTGTTCCCTTCGACAACAAGGGGACGATGAAAGGGGTACAGCCAGTGAGGTGGCGGCATTTCGGTGGCCCCAGCCGTGCTTTGCCCACCTGGCCCGTGACATCCCATTCCAGCAGCTGTCATCTCCCGCTGTCACCTTGTCATTGCAGAGTGCGTTGGGCAACTGCACCCAATAGTGCTGTAGGTCCTTCAGCTTCCCGGACACGTCCAACACCTTCAAGGGAAGAGGCAATGCCAACCTCACTTCCTGTCCTCTCACAAACCACTTCCTGGACTTTAATTCATAGATTCTCTTCATTTCAACAAGTCACATGATTCTCATTTGATTATACTGGCTTTATATTTTAAGACTTAAAACAGCCAAGAAGTATAAAAGTGTTGTAAAAAACCAGAAGTACTATGAAATATTTCCTCTCATACTGTCTGATACCAGGAAAGTCAGAAATTAGTAGAGAACCAGAAAACACTGACCAGCTTCTCCAGCCCCCCCACAGCGATGGTCTGCTCGTCCGCAAGTGCTTTCTCTGCCTTCTTAGTCTCCTCAGCTTCTGAGCTGCCAGTAGCAGCCTCACTTGGGCCCCCACATGCCTGAAGAACCTGTAAGAGGTGCACAGAGTGTTTGTGCCGCTGCTGTCCTGCTTGCTCCATTCTATCCTCCATAGTTATGAGAGTTTCTTGGCTTATTTCTAATAGTGCTTCTGTTTTCCCATCACGTGCGACACCATGAACCTCCTGATGCTGTAGGTCAAGCCACCTTGCAGAGCTGCAGACTTCCATGTGGTTCCCCCACCACCATGAAACTGCACACCGGACGGGGGATCAGAGGGTCAGGCATCTGTGCCCGTACCCAGAAGGTCTTGGCCTCCTATCCCACCAGGGCAATCATACCACTGTTGGGCACTTGATAAAGGCTGTTTAACCCCAGAAAACTGCTCCGGGGCATTGGCTGCTGCTGTTCCTGTGCCCCCCGACCCGAAAATGTGTCTCACCTGTACATATGTCTGGTGAAATTTACCCAACCTCCCCAGGGATGAAAACCATATCTCTATCCAAACCCACATGAGCAAGAGGGTCTGGAGAGAAGATGAGGAGCTCTTTTACACTAAAAATGTTGACACGCAGCTGCCTTTACTCTTGAGACATGAGCCTTGATGGAGTAGCTGGAGTAGTGGGCGTGTCTGGAGGTGGGCGTGTCTAAAGGTGGGCATGTCTAAAGGTGGGCGTGACTAAAGGTGGGCATGTATAAAGGAGGGCATGCCAAAAGGTGATGCGTGCAATAAAGCAGGCAAAAGTTATTTCTATTGGTCAAAAATGCTGACAATAAACATTATTTCAGAAAGAGGTCCAGACATATAGGTCCGGCAACGACTATGATTAATAGACATCTACAATTAAAAACCTGTTTCATATTTGTTCATATAGTGTAAGACATTTCCTATGTTTGTTTATACTTTCTGCTATATTTCCAGAAAGTGGAAAGGAAATTACACGCATGGTTCCACCCACAAACCTTTCCACACTCCCACAAACTTTTCGCCCACGTCCTCTTGCCTTTCGATGTGGCCCATTACTCCAGCCTACAGAGACTTAAACTTGCTCCTCTATTCCTCTGCTTTACTCTAGAATCATACAGTACAGTAAGTAATTCTGCACCACAGTGGGGTCCCCCAGTGACGGAGGCGCAGACCTTGCGTCGGAAGCTGTCCGCATTCTCCCGCATGCTCGAAACGGCCTCGGACAGACGCAGGGGCAGCGAGAGGATGCAGCTCTCCACGCCGACGGAGCCCCGGAAACGCTCTGTCACCTGGACCATGGCATCTGTGGGGAATGAGGAGGGGGTGAGCAGGCTGGGGGGTAGGTGGGCTGCGGCTTTACATCGGAGCACACAGCCATCTGACAGAGCTGCGACAATAAGACACAGGCCCGTGATTACTGAATGCAGCCTTTGCTGCCCCCCCCCCCGCATCCCCATGTGAAAGCGGGGAGGCTGACATCCGGCGGGAGAGAGCCTGTGACCCGGACACACCTACACCGCCTCACATCGGAACGGGGCGCAGCAGCTGTTCCAGCAGCACTAACACTGTCCACACAAAACTACTCTCACCAGCTTGGCTTCCCAGCTGTTTGCAGTGGTGTAACAAGTACTTAGTATTCATACTTCAATACAGATACCACAGCTAAATGCTACTCAAGTAAAAGAAAAAGTACCTATGTTTAAAAATACTTACAGTAAGTATCAAAAGTACTAGTTTTTATTCACAAGACAGGCTGTTTACTCTATAACAGTCTCAGATTAGACAGAACAATTAGAAGAACAATTTCTGAAACAAATAACACTTATGTAAAAGTAAAGGTACTGTTATTCAAAAATACGTAGAAAGTTCAATTTCACAAAAAAATCTACTCAGTTACAGTAATAAGAGAAAATATGCTCTGTTACTTTCTCCAGCCGCTCCCCCCCCCCCGGTCCCCTAGATCTGACTCACCAGCCAGGTTGGCCCACTCAGGGTCCAGGTCGGCCTGGTTAGCCAGGCAGCCCTTCATCACGTTCCGGCAGTACCTAGTACAGGGCTTGACGCCCCCCAGGCCACGGCAGTGTGGGCAGTAGCTGAGCCTCATGATGGCTCGGGCACACTCTGGGCTGAGCGGCACCTGCAAGGCCATCAGAGAGCTAAAGTTAACAAAGGATGGACACATTGGGCTGCCTATAATGGAGCCTTGGCTCTCTCTAAACCCCAGATGATGGTCAAATTCAGAACGGTTGGCTGACTTAGACATACTGACATGTGCTATCCCACTGTTCTAACCCAAAGACCTGCACATCTGCCTTCTACTGTTTGTCCTTGGCTCTAACACACGGAGCCTCACATCTGTGGCCTCCTGCACATCCTAACACTGAACCTTCTATCCCACAATGCCCCTCCCACCTGTTCGGAAGCGGGCTAATGCCCATAAGCTTCTGGCTGGCAGTCTCAACCTGATTCCCCTGAGCTGACATCTGCCAGGCCCAGAAGACCCAGATTTCCTGGAATACATTTCTGACTCCTCAGCAAACCTCCCAGGGTGCCCAGATGTCTTCACATAAACAAAAGGAGGTGCGTTTCTGCTCAGTTGTCCTAGATTTACCACACCAACCTCATACCAGAAATGTGTGCCTCACAAAAACCTGCAAACCCATAACTGATAAACCTAAGTATTATTAACATGGCATAAAATATAAATAGTCTTATGGAAATACGTTGAGACAACATGTGGGATCCAACTGTGTTTCTACATTTTCAGGTCTTCTTACAACTTCAGCAGATGCAAGAGATCCAAGATTATCGGAACAACCATCAACTTTCTGGCCTGCTGCCTCTGATAATCCTTCTCTCCAGTCAACCCACTGGCCAAGCTCACACTGGGAGGTGGCGGGCTTTAAGCACTAAGGACAGCGGGCAGACTGACCTCCACCTGTTAAAGGATATCATCTGCAGATCAGCAGGTGCCTCCTACAGCGACCATATAACAAAGAACTTTGAAAGAACTCAAATTCTATATAGGCTAAAGAGTACTTTAAGTGGGAAAAAAATCATTCAATAAAAAGTATTGAATGAATAACTAATTTCGAACCAACCTGGGAGGTGCTCAAGTGCCAATTGCCCTGATTGGCCCATTCACCATATCACCTGCACATGCACCTGCCTGATTGGAGGATAAGGTCTGTCACCAACCAGAACAACAGATCTAATGTAATTAGGTGTCACTTGAATATGGTGCCTCCAATATCCAAGGCTGGGAAGTGTGTGGGGCGTGCATGTACAGGTACTCTGGGATTCTCCTGCAAAGCGGCATCTCTGAATTGCTCAGGGTGTATGATGTTTTCTGTCTGTCTGTGTGAATATGTGCCCTGTGACTAACTATCCCACCCAGGCTGTACCCCGACCGAGCCTCATTCCATGTTTAATTAATTCATCCAATAACCATATGGGGCCACTACCTAGCATAGCTTTTAGGACTTGGATGTTCAATCGATAGATTATAGGTTCAAGACTCAGGAACGTTTTGCAGTTGTACCGGTGCATAAACTAAAGTAATTCAGTAAGTATCCAAGTTTGGATAGAAAAATCAAAGTAACTAATAAAAGCTGTCTATTTGTCTGTCAGCGGTGTGGTAATAAACACAAGCTCTGTATCCATGTGATTGCATTTAAAATGTCCAGCGGAGGGTATCATATTGTACCCCCTTCTGCCTCAGATCGTTTCAGATAAACAGGCACAATTAGCCACGTTAGCCGCTCCTGACTGACGTGCCCATTAAGCTGCGGAATATAAATAAAGGTCAAAGACAATCAGCTTCTGTCAGGTGCTATAATGCCTCCTGACCAGACCGTCCACATCAAGCAGAATGACAGGGTTGGTCCTCCTGCATACATCACTCCCATTGTGCCGTGCTCCCTGCCCTCTTACAGCAGTACTTAACAAAGCTGAGTGTTTTACATATCAAACGACGCCGGGTCTCACTGCTTCACCCCACGGTAGGTCAGCGAGGTCTTCCTTCAGCCAATACCTGCTGTGTGTGTGTGTGTGTGTGTGTGTGTGCGGCTGGGTGTGGTTCAGATACACATTACATTATGGGGAACAAATGTCACCATACTATGATAAAAACCCATTATTTTGACCTTGTGGGGACATATTTCCATCATCTGTTTTGTTTGGTGACTTATGGTTAAGGTTAGGGCTGGATAGGCATCAGAGGTGGACATTTCAGGTCCAGAAAGTAAAAATCCAAACCAGGATTTTGTTTCAACCAACCAGTTGAGTACTCTGACTGTGGCTCTTTATGCTCAACTGGTTGGTTGAAACAAAATCCTGGTTTGGATTTTTACTTTCTGGACCTGAAATGTCCGCCTCTGATAGGCATTAATGTTGTCATACTTAGGATTAGGGTTATGTCCATATAAATGAATGTGGAGTCCCTACCATGACAGGGATATATGTGTGCATGTGGAGATCAGGGTCCTACCTGAGACACCTTGCGGACCACGTCGCTGCTCACCAGCAGGCCCACAGAGAAGGAGCGTGCTACCACGAAGGCACGCGTCACCTTTGCCTTCAGTTCGCGAGGCACGTCGCCGAATGGCCGCAGCACCTCTGCCTGCTTCCCGGCGCACTCCAGGAAGTCGTCGCCCGAGCCACGCTGCGGGTTCGAAGCCTTAAGCATGCGCTCCAGCAGTTGAGCCCAGAACTCGTTGAGCGCCTCCTCAAGGTTTACGCCGGAACCACGGTAGTAGCGGCGCAGCTCAGCGAACAGGCCCTGGACGAGGTGTGCATTCTGCGCATATGCATTCCCGCCTGCGCCGCGCAGCGACTGCAGCGCCGACGACTCAGTGTGGTTCAGTAGCTCCAGAAAATAGCCTGAAACGGCAAGAAAGGGCGTCATGGTGACTGGGACACGATATACGAAATATCAAGAGATACCTCAGCAAAGCCTCTCAGACCACTGAACATGGAGACAAACACACACACGCACACACACATACATAAATATACACAAACTCACACGTCCTGTTTAGTGAGGCAGATCACTTGGAGAGAGATATTGCAAAAAACACAAGAGAAACAAGTAGGAATAGGGCAAATCCACAGAGTCAGACAAACATGCAGGACGCTGACAGATTCCTGCACGGATCACGCCCGGACTATTCCCAGGCGCATGCAACCGCACCCCCAACCTGCCTCACCTGCCCATAATGCATTCTGCCACATGCACTTAAGAACGCTCACAAGATCAATGTCAAAGTCGAGACCATTCATTCCCGTTGTGAATACACATCACCACATTTTTACCCAAATCTGGGAAAAAATAACATTCCCGGATGTCCCAGAAAGCATTTCAGCTTCTCATCACGCTACAATTGTAATCTCTGCTGTCATGGCACTTTGTTTATTCTGAAGGCATCTTATCTCGCCCAAGCTGAGGCTTCTGATGCCGGGTATGTTGGCGGGCTTGAGGTCCCACCCACCCCCGTGGCTTTGGAGATGGGCTTCACAATGTGTCTGTGCCAACAGGCATAACCGAGTCCAGATCCAAGTCTCGGTCATACAGGTGCTTATCCCAGAAAAAGAACAACGGATGGAAAGTGAAACCAGGACTGAGGAGATCTACAAACTACAAGAGAAAGGCATGCTGTCGCTGGACGTAGATCCCCATTGGAAGAGACCAGCGAGGAGAGACCTGCTGTAAATAAAGTTGTTGTAAATAAGTAAAGTCATGGACAAGGCAGGAAGCAAGAGACAGAGCATAACACAGAGACAGAGCATAACACAGAGACAGAGCATAACACAGAGACAGAGCCTAACACCAGAGACAGATCTTAACACAGAGACAGAGCCTAACACCAGAGACAGAGCATAACACCAGAGACAGATCTTAACAAAGAGACAGAGCCTCACACCAGATACAGATCTTAACACCAGAGACGGATCTTAACACAGAGACAGAGCCTAACACCAGAGACAGATCTTAGCACAGAGACAGAGCCTAACACCAGAGACAGATCTTAACACA